GCTTCAGGTCGTTGATAACTTCATTCCTGAATTGGTCTATGAGGCTCTCTATATGGTGCTTTATGTGTATTGGTGCGGTGTCCGCTATTGCCTGTTTCTCAGAATTGGGGGCCGAGGAGCCTTTCTTGTTGCTGCCTCTTCCCATATTCTCTGTTCCTTATATATGCAAGCTTATATGAGAGGCCCAGCTTCTCTCCCTGTCAGCCACAGCCTGATCGAATTGCGCAGGTTAGGTGTTCCCACTCACTGCTGCACACCAGGCAGCCTATGCGGGGCCCGCCCCCTCCCGGCCTCCGTCAGGCTCTGCGATCTGGGTTGGGCCAGCCTACGGGGTCCGCCGGCAGCGTCACGCAGGCCAGGCACTTTTCACCAATCCCGCCCGAGAGGGGAATGTGTGGCTGGAGTCCCCACTGCGCCCTGCTCCCGCAGGACTGCTCGGGCCCAGAAAGTCCGCTGGAGTCAAACTGTGGTGGAGTGTCAGTTTCTCTCACTCACCTCGCCACAAGTCAGAGCATGCCTCCCTGCCCGTCCTGTTTTCGACTCCGTTCGCAGACTCCCGTTCTTAGAGTTTCCGCGCGTCTCTCTCCTTGCCGAGCCGATGTAGAGGCAGCCAGCCACCGCGCGGCGGGAAACCCAAATCGCGGCTTCCAATGGCGCAGGGTCCAGCCTCAGCAGCGAGACTTTTCTGTTCGTGTTTTAGCACCAGGACTGCATTCCAAGTTGCTTTCTCTCAGCCGAGTTCGTTCCTGAGTCAGCAGAGCATAACTCCACCTGCTTATGTCTCTTTAGTCCGCACCATACCTGGCTTCTGAGCCTAGTTTTTCAGAGAGCCTCCGGTAGTTGCTGTTATCTGTCCGCCATGTTCTCCCGGAAGTCCTGAATTTTCTTCCTTTTAACAGAAGAACCAATTCCATTGTGTATACGTAATACATTTTTTACCCATTCATCTGTTGGTGGACGTGGGTTGATTCTATTACTTGGCTACTGTGAATACTTGCTGCATGAACATGGAAATGCCGATTCCCCATAGCGAAGGGATTTCTACTCTTTGGGTTCTAGCTTTAGTTTTTTGGGAATTTCCATTCATCACTTTTTAAAAAAAACTAATTTACATTCCCACAAACAAGGTAGTAATAATCTTATTTTCGCTAACCTAAGGATTGAACCTTAGGCTTCACTCTGGCTATGGAAACACTACCACTGAGCTACATCTCCAGCCGTAAGGATTAATTTTGTTCTGTGATATGAGAGGGACAACTTTATTCTTTTTTTTGGTCTTTTTCCTTTTTAATTGGTACCGGGGATCGAACTCACGACTGCCTGCTTGCAAGGCAAGTGCTTATGCCGCTGAGCCAAATCCCCAGCCCCTGTATTCTTTTTTTAAAAAGACCATTCTTTCCTAATTGAATCGTTTTGATAACATGTCAAGAATTGTACATAAATTTGAAAATGTTTATTACTCATACGTTTTTCCTATGCTGATACTGTGTTATCTTGATTATGATAGCTATGTAGTAAGTTTTGATATTGAGAGAAGTCCTTCAACTTTATTCCCTTAGATTATTTTGGCTGATTTGTGTTTGATATTTTCATACAAATTTTAGGATCAAATTTTATTTCTGCAAAAAAGCACCTAGAATTTTGCTAAGTGGGGTTACACTGAATCTGTAGTTCATTTTGGGAACCTAAACTATATTAATAATATTATGTCTTCTGATCCATGACCAATGTCTCTACCTGTTAGGTATTCTTTTAATCTTTTTCAACAGTGATTTATAGTTTTGGGATTATAAGTATATTTTTTCTTTGTTAAATTTACTCTAAGTAATATTTTTTCTTTTTGATGTTTTTGTAAACGGAATTGTTTTCTTAGTTTTATTTTTCATTTATTACTGTTGCATAGAGTGAAGATGGGCTTCGTATATTTTCTGGTTTCTTGCAATCTTGCTTATCTTAAATTAGTTCTAGGAGGTTTTTCTTTAGTTTATTATGATTTTCTACATACTTTCAGTGACCATCCTGATTTTCTCAATTTAAATGACTTTCTTAGGCTGGGGGTGTAGCTCAGTAGCACAGTGCCTGCCTGGGAAGTGGGAAGTTGTGAGTTCAATTACTGGTACAAAATAAAAAATCTTTCTTGGAAACTTCAGCTAAAATGTTTCTCAATTTTTTTCAAGAATCACCTTTAAAATTTTTTATTGGTTTTTCTATTCTTTCTTTCATTACTTCTCACACTAATGAGTAATATTTCCTTGATTTTTCTGATTTTAGCGCAGTGTGCTCTTCTTTCACTCTATGGATTGTTGAGCTGAGAGCTTTTTTACTATAGGCATTTAAGTTTTGGTTAAATGTTACTTTAATTGCATTCTATAAGTTTTAATATGTTGTGCTTTTATTTTCATCATCTCAAAATATTTTCTAATTTCCCGTGTGATTTTCCTTGTTACTCATTTGTGTCCTTCTATATATAAATTGCAGTTCTGGGGCTCAACCCAAAGTCTCGTACATGGTGGCAAAGTGCTCTGTGCCTGACCTATATACGCCTATCGTTATTCACATAATTTTGAGTTTCCCAGCTATGCTTCTGTTATTAATTCTAATTTCATCCAATTCTGATCTGGGCACACATTTTGTATGGATTCACTTGTTTTAAATGTATTTTAGTTTGTTTTATATTGTAGGATATGGCCTGTCCTAGTGAATGCCCCATGTGTACTTGAGAAGCATGTACATTTGCTATTAAGTGACCTATTTTTTAGATATATTAGATATGGTCCACTTATACTATAATTCAAATCATTTATTCCTCTTTAATTGTTTCATCCCTCATTCAAATTTTTCCATAGAAGTCTCTTATGATTTATCCTTGAGTTGTCTTTCTCTTTCTTCAAACTGTCATGTTTTGATTTATTTTGGTATGTCTGTTTTTAAGTGTATATATATGCTTATAATTTCTATATCTTTCTAATTCATTAACCCTTTTTCTCATTACAAAATATTCTCCTTTTTCTCTGGGTACATTTTTTTTGGTTCAAAGTATATTCTAGCCAATACTGCTGTGGCCACTCCAGTTTTCTTAGGACACCTATTTGCATGCTATACCTTTTTCTATGCTTTTATTTTCAACTTGTTTGTATTCCTGACTCTAAAATATAGTAGCAAGTCTCTTTCAATTAGTGATTGATTAAAATCATTTAGTACAAACAGTTATTTTTTTTTACCAGTGACAATGATGTCTCTAATATGCGGATAATGTATTTTTCACTATTTATAATTTATAAATTATTATTGTTTATTTAACGTTCATACATCTCATCTCATTATTTTGAGTAATATAATGATGCTTTTATAACATTAATCAAGGGTAGTTCCCCTTTACTGAAAATTTAAAATAATATTTTATTTTGAGACTGGGTCTCACTGTGTAGTACAGGCTGGCCTTGAACTCAATATTATAGCCAAGTTGGCCTTGAATTCTTGGAGATTCCCTTGCCTCAGCCTCCCAAGTGCTGGCATTGTAGGTATGCACCTCCAGGTTTAAATGTAATTTAAAGGATTTACCTTAATTATTCCTACTGATCTGAGAGGTATAGAGGATAAAATAGCATTATATTTACTTTATAGTGAGAAAAATTCATAAATTTAAATTTGCCCTTCACTTTTAATACATTAAATAATCTTAATTTCCGGTGACAGATATATTTATTGATTCAAGCTGTTACGTTATATTTGGACAATAATAATAGTGACTACTATATATTCTTAGTTTTCATGGAAATACCCTTGAAATTGTTTTGAAAAGCAGAGGAAAACATTTTGGGTGCTGTATAATCTCACTTCACTTGCTTTTTTACATTATTTTGTACTCTTGTAGATGATTAATGTGGTTTGTGCATGGACTTCAGAAAAGGAAAAATTAGTTTCTGAAAATGACTTAACAGCAACTGGAATTAAACAGTTGGGGTATGAATGAATGAATGAACTGGGTGAAATAAGTAATATGAGCATTTTTAGATATTTTGTGCCATGAAAGGCTTAACAAAATTCCAGGTAGTGAAAAGTAGAAACTGTCTGATACAATGTTGATATGTCATTTTTAGAGAGGACTTACAATGTGTTAGGCAATTTTCCAGTACCTGTATATATGAGTAAGGACTGCATTGTCAAACGAGTGACATGAATTGGAAGTATACATCAGCATCAAACTTTATTTATAGTCTCAAAGATACGAGCGATCAAAAGGCACAGGTGAAACAGCCAGGTCCTGAATATTGAAAGAGGCTAGCAGATTCTTTTTTACTACAACAGACAAGACTCTCAAACCCAGAGAGGCAGATAAAATCTTTGATGAAGTACACAGGTTATTTGATACAATGATCATCAGCATTATAGGCTATGAAAGATGTTCATTTTATGCTTAGATAGGTGCATAGCTGATGCCCCGACCTATAATCTAAAGATGTTAGCTTTGTTCATTGCAAGTATCCTGCTGAAATCCTTTTGTAGATATGTCCTCTTTCTAAATGCAAAAGTCATTGAAGCATTTGAATGCTATTTGAATCATTAGAAAGAGATTACAAGTGTTTTGCCTTCTTTTTTCTCCCTCTGAGATAGCCTTTCACTCAACAAGAGAAAAATACTTCCTTTTTAAAAGCTCTTTCCTTACTAGTAAATTAGCTCATTTAAATTCAAATTCAATTATTCATTCATTTTTAAAAATGCAAACAAGGTAAAATATATTAAGGAACTTAACATTTAATTTTTCAAATCTTGTATTTTATTAAGTTTAATTTAGTTTGCTTCATAGAAATTTAGGAGAGAAATGCAGTAAATATTCACCTGTTATCAGATATCATCAGCAATAATTTGTTGTATTTATTTGTGTATATATATATATTTGTGTAGTTCATATAAAATTTTCTTATTTAGAATAGTTGAAAAATCTTATAATGGTTTTAATGTTCAATTCTCTCTTTTTATCAACTTAACCCTCAAATCAGGATGGAGATCCGGTCCGCCCAGGAGTGGCCATGACTGATCTTGCCACTGGCCTGTATGCATATGGAGCCATTATGGCCGGACTGATCCAAAGATGTAAAACTGGAAAAGGACTGTTCATTGATTGTAACCTACTGTCGTCTCAGGTACCAATCTAAACACCATCTTAGACAACAGTGTTCAAATCCGTGTTTAAACTCTACCTTTTCAGAGTAAATCCTGTGGTTACATGGGCAAAAACCCATTAAAATAAAAAATAAATGAATGTTATTGTTTGCATGTTAAAATAATGATTTCATTATATAGCTGGTGTTGTTGAACTAAAATTTTAAAGACCTTTTTAAATTACTAGAATTGTTTCATTAACACTATAAGAATACATTTGTTTCTCTTTTATTGGGACATGAGCTTTGTAACTTTTTTTTGTGTTTTGGAGATATAGTCTTGCTGTGTAGTTCAGACTGGCCTTAAACTCACCTTCTGGCCTAGGCTGACCTGGAGCTTGCAGTGATCCTCCTACATTAGCCTCCTGAGTGCTGAGATTATAGGCATGCAGCACGACACCTGGTTTTATAACTTCTTTTGATCAGAGTTTCTGCATGTTTTATGTACCATGAGCCTTTTTGTAGTCTGGTACCTTCGAATCATGTTTTTAAATTCATGAAATCAGGTAGGGATATAGGGAAGCAAGTTATAAATATTCTGATATAAAAAATAATTTATGCATTATAAGAATACATTATTATTTTTACTAATATTAAACTACCATATTTATTAGCGGGTCTAATACTATAATAATTTCAAGGTAATGTTGGGCGTAAATGATTCCAAGAAACTTGGAATAACTAATGTTATGAAAATATATATAATATTTATTGTGATCAAGTCATAGACAGTACTCTTAGGTTTTTTGTCTAAATTCATAATTGGAAAAAAATAATTAACTATAGTTAGTGATAAAAACAAAGTTATAATTTTTTCACTCAAACTAATAACGCCTAGAATTCTGTCCATGGATTCAGAAGAACCTTTGGCCTAGATAGTTATCAGTTAATGTACTAAATACTAAACTGGTGGAAAAAATGGTTAACTCACTCTCAACATGACATTTTGCCTCCTTTTCACTGGATTAGACCCAGATGCTGTGCCATATGTTGAAGCTGATTCTGAATAGATACTTTTTCAGGGATATAAAAAAGAATATATCTAATTTGTACAAGGAGACATTTTACTGTGGGAAGAATTACTTTCTAGACATAGAGACCTCAGTTGGGAATGTCAGATTTAAATGGCATACATGGGAAACTAGCAAACTTGGAACACTGCTTTGGAGAATTTTTTTTTGTTAGGCAAAATGACAGAGGTGTGTAGAAATTGTAAAAAAATCCGTGTGGTTTAAGGTGAAATATGTATGAATTTTCAACAGCAGCTTTGAGTCATAACCAAAATTTTATGATTTTATAAAACTTAAAAGAACTCTTGTCAAATAAGTGACCTTACTCCTTCACAAAGCATCACAGAGGCTAGTTCTGAGAAATAGCTGAAATTCTTTTCTTTGCTTCCTTAATTTTGTGGCTGTAAAGAACCTGGTAGAGGTTCAGAGCTGGATGAAAGCTGCACATCCAATATGAATGTGAAGACTTTATGGAGGTGACCTGGGCAGTTGTGGAGGGGCTGGCCTAGTTTAAATGTCCTGTTCTCATCTTGACATTTTAAATAATTTTTGAATAAGAGGCTTTATAGTTTTTATTTGGCAGCAGGCCTCCCAAATTATATTGCAGCTCTTGGAAATAGGACACTAAGCCCTACCTAAATTTTCTAGCCCTACCTAAATTGCTTTTTTTCTGTATCTCATTTATTAATTAATTAGCTTTGGAAAAAAAATCTCTCATGACCTTAAATCTCTTCCGGCACCTAAGTAGTGATTCACTTTGTAGGGTGTGTGTTTCTCTGGGGTAGAGGCAGTGGAGAGGATACTGTAATCACCTTCAGGGCTGCTTCTACATGAGTGTAAACTCACATATACACAGACATATGTATTTTAGCCATTTTGTGTGTGTGTGCATGAGTGTGTATGCATGTTACTGGGAACTCACCCAAAGCTTTCTCACCGAGCTACATCTCCTGCACTGTTTAGATTTCTTTTTTCAAACAGGGTCTTGTTAAAGCTCCTTGAACTTTGAGTCCTTCTGCCTTAATCTCCTAGAGTTTTGGGATTACAGGTGTTTGCCACGATGCCTGGCTGAGGTTCATTAACTGTCTTTGAACAATAAAATCTATTCTGTCTAATTTTAGAGCTATATACTTTTCTCATCTGTCTACTATGATCCTGACAGTAGTTAATCACTTGAGATAGCAGGTAGGGCACGAACTTTTATTCCCATTTTACCTGCAAAGAAACTGAGAATTAACCTGCTTGAGCAACAGTCACAGCAAGAACTGTTTTCTGACACCTAGACTGTTTCTTCCCTACTTCATTAGAGCAAAAAAAAAAATTTATTTTTTTTTGACAGTTAGAGACAGACAAGCTCTAGGCTTTCCTGTAGTGAATATCCAGGGGATAAGGCAAACTAAGTAAGGGACAATATGCAAAAGAGCATCTGTGAGAAAGAAACAAGACTCCGCATACCTATTCCATCGACAAAGTATCTCAGGAGCCACAAGAAATAGTGCAACATTGTGAGCCCATTTGGATCATTATCTGTTGTGTTTTGACTCAGGGAGTGAAGGTAGTCACGGATGGTTAACTGATGGGACAGGTGTTTCTAATGACATGTTGATGCATGAGAAAAATAGTATTTAGAGTTAGTGGATTATAACTTCTTTTCCTGCACTAATCAACATAGCACATTTTGTTTTCCAGGGCCCGTGCTAACTGGGTGAGAGAGGGAGGTGATACAGCTGCTCAAGGTTTCCTAGCTAAGTCACTAGGAGAGTTAGAAGTATCAGTGAGCTGAGTCTTGAAGAACTGGTAGGTGTTCACTAAACTGGGAGCAGGGGACAGAGTAGACATGGCTAATAGCAAATTCAAAGACAAAAAATGATGACATACCTAGAACTTGGGATACGAATGGGGAATGACAGAAGGCAGGGTCAGAAAGCTTGACTGGACCAAGATTGTTAGGGCTTCTTATGTCCCATGTAGGGATGCTGATTTAAATCTCTAAAGGCTTTTGCTTCCTTATGCATCCTGTTAGGTTTACCAGCTGCAACTGCCCTGTTCAGAATAGCCTTCGAGCTGTGCACACGGGGGAGAGTTCGAAGGGCGGCAGTGGCAGAATGACTTGTGTTCGAGCCCATGTGCGGTGCCAGGCTTAGGGCGGTGAGAACGTAATTGTCTTCTGAACCCACATTAGGCAGAGCCCTGTTTCTCTTTGCTTTTCCCTGACTCCTTGTCTCTGAGTTCCCTTTTTTTCTTCTCCTGTGTGCTTCTCCAGCCTGGGTATCTTTTCCTTCTGTCTCTGCCTTGCTTGTCTGTTTAAAAAACTTTCCTGGTCTCAGTCCTTTTCTGTACTCTTCCTTTTTGTTTTTCTTTCCTTGCCTTCCATCTTTCCTTCGGTGGCACTAAAGCTATGTCAGCTTGCAAGTTGTTACATTCTTATCTCCTGTAATTGAGGAAACTTCTTTGATTCCCATAAAAAAAAAAAATGGAAGTTCCCTTTCCTAGAAGTTCCAGACAACGAGACTGTTTATATCACTGTGGTATAGCAATTTGCAAATGCTATACTAACTAGCACACAGGTTTTCAGGATCCAGTGCAATAAAGAATGTAAAAAAAAATTGTGTAAATTAGAATGTATTCTACTGATGCTGAGCATTAATTTTATTAGGTTATTGAAAAACATTTCACAGTGTTAGAAATGCGCTGAGATTTAAAAGTTGCTTGTTGACATAATTATTTTATTATCAGACTAACAACTTTTCACAGTAGAGAACTCTTAACTTCACTTTGTATTTCAATTTAAAATAATGTTATAGATTTTAAATTCAACAGCCAAACCACAAAATGATTAAAATCTGCTTTATGTAAATGAAAGGTGCTATTTCTAGATACTTTTCAAAGTTGTGTAGTAGGAAACTTCACCTTTTTAGAAAGTATTCTTTTTTACATATAAATGTTCATCTGGATTAAGCACATAACATTTGTACTTAATTTCAGCTGTCTGAAAAATGACTGTGATTTCAGGCAGTGCCAAAAGCATGCTTTTCTACTTGTTTTGATTGCATTACATTGGATAACAAATGAATAATTATAACATTCAATGTTGCTGCTAAAAATGAAATTTTGTACTCTCTTAAAAGTGAGCTAGCACACAATAGACAAATTACACTTGATTTGAATAGTAGCTAATTATTAGCTCAGAGATGATTGCCTGGACCACAACAAAACCATTTTAAGTAGTTCATTGCAGAGACATATTGGTTGCCGGGATGTGGTTTGTAGTGGGCACTCAATGTTTTGTAGTTTCAAGGCTATAAACTTTTACCCCTTGTCATGAAATTCTTTTGATTTTCTTTTAGACTTAATGTGATTTAAAGTTGTTCACTCAAGATTGTCTGATGTCAGCATCTAAACAGTGTTCTTAGATGATATTGGTAAAAAACAAGGAAGTGGGTTTGTATGTGGTTCCAATTATTCTTTTACTCTTGTTCTTCTGTTGTGGCTTACAGAAATATCTTTTGGAAGTTTTAATATCCTTCCTGTACTTAATTGTAACCAGGCTCCCTTAATTACTACTACAATGAGTTAGGATTTTTCAGCACCATAATTACTCTCACATATAGAGCGTTTTGTTACTTTTGGTGGTACAGTCCTTTCCCCACATTTGTATACTGTTAGTGTTATAAATGTATATGATTGTATAAGGGTAGATACATTTTTGATTCTTATTTTTTAGCAGATTCTTGGTAAACTGTTGAATCTCAAAGAAGTAATCTGAAATCCATCTTTTAGATTTCAGTCTTTATACTTGCTTTTCTTTTTACTGTATTTTTAAAAAGTAATTTTAATGAGGTATGTATTATATATCATAAAATTTACTTTATTTCATGTGACAATTTAAAGATTTCTAGTAAATTTAGTGATTTACGCAACCATCACTGTAAAATAGGATTTGAAAAAAATGCACATAGATTTGCTTCTTGA